CGTCCAGAATGGCCTCCATTGCTTCAAATACCTGCTCCCGAATATTGGGCTGTGAGAAGTGAGGTTGTTCCTTTCACAGATTTGCCAGATTGAGTCGTCCAGGACCCTTCCTGCCCTGCAGCTCTACTTTTCACTGGAAATAATCAAACACTTGGCTCAAGTGTGCTCTCTCTCCTCTGTGTGTTTGTTTTGTAATGCTAGTTTGTTCTTTTTGTGCTTTGAGTATTTGAACTGATGGGATGCTGACAATAAATATTCTTGTTTGTTTAATCGTGTATGTTGTGATAGGTTTGGCTGGGAATATGATCCCCAGGGCTTTCAGTCGAAAAGTCTTTAGCAGATGATGCTTTTGTAAGTTGTCTTTCTTCTTCTTTGCTCTGCCTTCTTAGGTTTATGACTAATTATCTGTTGATTTTCATCATTATTAACAAACTAACATTATTCTCATATGGTATTCTTATCTATTCTTGTGCTTTTATATTTATTCAGGGTCTAGAAAGAGCTTTGTTGCTAATATGATATTTCATAATTTTCAGGGCTCAGAATTTTCACCTGGCTATTCCAATTTTGAAGATCCTGCTTTTACTTTGGATCCCTTCATCTAATCTCTACAACGTCATTGCCCACCAGACTTTAACTTTTCAGTTTTCGTTTAGAATGCCTCTGATGAGTTGCGACAAGCTGTAGATTCTTTCTTTGGGTTGGTTCGCCCTTGAGGTTTCCTTGGTCAAGACTCAAACTTTGATAATTGATATTAATTCTCTGCTAGGATACTTCAATTTATGGTTTATGAGAAGCAACAGAAGCTTAGAAAGAATGAAAATGCAGAGAATTGTAGGTAATTTCGTTATCTCTGGTTTATGAGAAGCCACAGAAGCTTAGAATCATAATGAAAATGCATGGTCTTGGAGATGGGCCTTACTGGATAATTTCCTACACTTATTTTCTTTGTATCTCATTCATTTACATGCTATGTTTTTTGATATTTGGCTCAGTCATATATCAGACTGCACTTAATTTATCGCTTATATTCTTTACTTGTTTCAGGTTGCTTTAGCCAAATTCACTTCCTTGCAGGGTTAAAATTTTTCAAACTGAATGACTACAGCATCCAATTTATGTTTTATCTTGTCTAAATAAATTTGCAAACTTCATTGTCTTTCCTAGGAGCTTTAGTGTTTTCAAACATGAAGACTGCTACAGATAATGATATTGTTAATTGTCATGTTAAAACTTAGAGTTAAATCTTAATTTTTCTTAAACAACCCGCTAAGTAACAAGATCTTATGAATCATCCTCAACCGAGTTTTGAATACAATAACAGCATACATAGGTGTCTTTGGCACTGGGATCATAGGGAACTATCTTTTCCTATGCTTTGTTGAGGATGCATCATTCCCTAGTAAGTGAAAGTTAATGTTCAAACGAGACCTGTGATGCATTATTCAAATGACTCAAGGGACATGGTCATTTGACTCAAATACACGTTTGTGGTTTTGGTTTGAGTTGGCTTACAGATGTTTCTAACTTTCCGTCTACAAGTTAAATTTGATTTGTATATTATATTTTTCACATTTATACTTTTGAATCTACCTTTTGTGAGACTTGTTTTTCATGATTGCAGGGAACTGGATATTTCTAATGGAGTTATATCCGGGGTTTTCTTTAACTCGTGGGCTGTATGAGTTTGCACAAGCTTCTTTCATTGGGAAATACTTAGGGACTAAAGGGATGCGGTGGGGAGATTTAGGTGATCGCCAATGGAATGAGAGAGGTCTTGATCATTATGCTTGCTGAGTGGTTGATGGTGCTTGTCCTTGCATATTTTATGGATACAGTTTTATCACTGGGAAGTGGAACAAGTACTCTAATTTTCTTGAAATTTTTATGGAAAAAGCTGCTGTTGTCCTTTCAGAAGCCTAGTTCTAAAGGGCAGAGGCCTAAACTTGGAGTTCAGGTGGAGAAAGCTGATTTCAGTAAAGAGGTAAATTTCTCTTGTTTGGACAGTTTTGAAGGGGATCAATAAGCATCCTATTTGCAAGACCTAATAGGATCTATGCAGGAAGACCAAAGGAGAAAAGAAATTGAAGATAAAAACTACGACAATGATTTTTAATTCTCACTATCAAATAGGCCACACTAGGGGGAATTATAAAGGATAACCTAGTATGTAGGCAGAATAAACTTGGATTCTAATAAATTTAACTCCCTAATTGTTATAGTAAAGCTAAAACAAACAATTAGCACCATGTATGTCCTTTAAGTTGTTTTGACTTTTAACTTGCTGAGGTTTTGCAGCTTAATTAGCTGCACTAATAATTTCATTTTTCCTTTCTATCGGGAGAAGGTTGATCAATTAATACTTGAGACAGACACAAAATAGGCCGTCGTGACAACCTCAAAAAGGTTTATCCAGGAAAGGACTGAAACCCTGACAAATTTGCAGTGAGGGGTATATCCTTTGCTTTGTGCAGAGGGGAATGCTTTGGTATGCTTGGTCCCAATTGCGCCGGCAAGACCTCTTTCATTAATATGGTATTAATACACCGATTCTGAAAACTTTCTGTCATGTTTTCTTATAGATGAAAAGTGCTGCTTTCCATTTAATCTTTCGAATGAATTTGAGGGGAACTAGGAAAATGCTTTCAAAGATTTTTTTGTTAAGCATATAAATTGGGAGCCACTTTTTCGCTAAGTTAGAAATATCATAGCTGTATGTTCTTTGAGCAATTTTGGGGAGACTAAATGCATTTATTGTCAGATGACTGGTCTTACAAAGCCAACATCCAGGACGGCATTTGTTGAGGGTCTGGACATAAGGACTCAAATGGATGGTGTGTATAGCAGCATGGGTGTGTGCCCACAGCATGAGTAAGCTATATTCTCATCCATGTTTCCTATTTATTAAAAAGTAAAACAATATTATTGTTTCTTTTATTCTGCTGTAATAGTCTGCTTTGGGAAATCCTGACTGGAAGAGAGCACTTAATGTTTTATGGAAGACTTAAGAACCTCAAAGGTTCTGCCTTGACACAGGTAACTCAATAATATGCTTATATTAACATTTCCATGTGAAGATTTGTTGGTCTTTAAGAGCTTCATGTACTTGCCGTAGGATTTGGAGCAGTAATTTGGCAAGTCTCTGCATTTTTTTGTTTGTTAATTTCAATAAATATATGGTAATTGATGACTCTACCAGCAACACTGAAACTTATTTGTTAATGTAGTTTAGAATACTTCCTTGAAAAAACAGAAGGAACAAGCTATAAGCTTTGCTGATGAATGTGAGACTTAAAGCCAAAATCTATGTGCTGTTGTGTATATGACTAGCATTTGTTGCTGCAGTCGGTCGAAGACTCTCTGAAGAGTTTCAACCTATTTCATGATGGAGTTCCTGATAAACAAGCTAAAACATATAGTGGGGGACATGAAGAGGAGGCTCAGTGTAGCAATTTCACTCACTGGGGATCCCAAAGTTTGTCTTCACCTTTTCCCAATCTACCTTTGTTTGTGAGATCTCTCTTGCTAACTATATATGTCATGGGGGTACCAGCCTACTTATGGCATAACCTTTTGAATTCTTTCTAGGTGGTTTATATCGATGAGCCTAGTAGTAGTACAGGACTAGATCCAGCTTCCAGAAAAATTTTATGGAATGTCATGAAGTGTGCATTGCAAGACCGGGCAATCATCCTCACCAGTACTCTCTCTCCCTCTCTCTCTCTCCCCACATTACTTGTTGAACTTGCAAAAATGAGGTGTAACAAGCATTACAGATTATCTGCTTTCTTGTTCCTCTTACTGTTGTGTATTGCCCCTCGGCCCCTTGCACTTAATTTCGATTCTTGTTGCTCAACTTGATGCTGTCAATTACATAATGGTCTTGTTTGTTATGTTTCAGCCCATTCAATGGAGGAAGCAGAAGTCTTGTGCGATCGAGTAGGTATTTCTGTAGATGGCAGCCTGTAGTGCTTAGGAAATCCAAAAGAGGTTAATTGACTTCAATGCTTTTATCTTTTAATTGTATTACTCTTCTATTTTGGTTTCAGATTTAGAATTGATCTCGATCATTTTAGTTATCAAGTGAATCATTTTTGTTGCGTCTCTTCTTCTTGGAATAGAAGCTGCATGTTTTTTAGCCTGCATGATAGATTTTACATGTGAGAATGCACATAGATTTTCATTTGGGCACGAATTTACGTACAACTTCAATGGTGTACTGTGACAGCTGATAGCTAGATATGGAGGATCTTATGTGTTCATAATAACATCTTCAATTCATGAAGAAGATGTGGAGAAATTGGTGCAAACTCTCTCTCCTAGTGCTAACAAGATATACCATGCATCTGGAACCCAGAAATTTGAGCTGCCTAAAACTGATATCAGAATAGCAGACATCTTCAAAACAGTGGAGATTGTGAAGAGCAGGTTCACCATTAATGCATCGAACCTAGCTGATGCTACGTTGGAGGAAGTCTTCATCAAAGTTGCACGCGGAGCTCAGAAAGCCAACACGTAGCATAGTGTTTCTGTACCAGAGTTCTTGTTAGAACTATCTCTGTCAAAAATTTCTTCCATGTGTTAAAAAACTCTTAGCTAGGAACCATTGTTTATAAATGTTTTTTTTTTTTCATGTCACCTACCACTTCTTGTGGTACAACTCAACTCATACACCTCATGTAATGTTGTGGACAATCCGAAAATGGTGTGAAATTTTTAAGGCATCAAAGAGAAGCTGATCATTTAGCCATTGATAATGCTTCAATTAATGATTTGAGTGGGATTTTATTTGTGATGGTTAAGACAGTCAAACGCAACAAATCAGGCATTGGCTGAGGACTTGCTAAATTTAAGTTTTAACGAACAATGTTAATTAAAAGAGTGGCATACAAAACTCTTGTTTTCTTTTCTTATTTCTTTCCCAAAGAAGTGCATTTGGGGACACAAAGGGTCTAATTTCTGTTAAAGGTTTTCAACTTTGACGCCCTGTTTAGTTACAAGTCTACGCTGCCACTTCCATATTGATTTTGGGTTTCTTAGGTATCAAGTTAAAGCTCTTCGGACATCAATGGCGGATGTTGCTGGTCGCCCTGCCAATTTTTGGCTTCAGTCCAATGCTTTGCTCAGGAAAAACTTAACCTTTCAGGTTCTCCTGCAACCAATTAATTAATTTAATTATTCAATTTAGCTCCTGAGTTATGACAAAATATCAACTTAATTAATTTAATTGTTGATGATTTTGCAGAAACGAAGGATGTGTGCCAATATAGCCCTGATTTTAATACCAGCCTTCTTCTGCTCGCTCTTTGCTTTCTTCCAAATCGTTGTGGATGTGTACACGAACAAACCCAATACGAAATGCGGATCGGATCCAGCAGAGATCGGGCATTTTGACGATTCATGTCCAATTCCTAAGCCTCCAGAATGGCCTGCCCTGTTAAAAATACCACAGAATGATTTTCGTGCAGTGAGAAGTGATTTCTTGTCGTTCAAAGACTTGCCCGATGAGTCATGCAGGAAGAAGGGCTCATGTCCTGTCACAATCCTCATGACTGGAACTAATCATTCTTTTGCCCAAAGTATTATTTCTTCTCTTCATTTTGACATGTTAGTTATTTAATTAACGGGGGAAACGCAAAGCTGGGATAATAGTTGGTGCTTCTAGTATTATTATCGAACGTCTAACTAACATTAATATGTGCACATTTGTTAGCATTGGCTTCGAGCATGTTTTCCGGGTCATTCCCGGTGAATTCCTCCGGTAATCTTACTGATTGGACTCAAACTGTCATGGTAAGTTGTCATTTTTCTTCCATTTGGTTTTTATTCTTCTTTTTTTTCGATGTGATTAAATAATATTAATTTCGTTTTACGATTGTGATAAAATATGCAGGGTACAGAGTCCCCACTTCAGTCATCCTATATGTTTGATCCTGCGTTCACTTCGCCGGATCCAACTCCCATCTCTAATCTGCAGCATGAATGCCCTCCCCAGTTATCTACATCATCCGCTACACTTCGAGTATCAACCACCCCAATAAAAAAAGGTATTTTTATTTTTATTTTTATAGTTAAACCCTATATTTGTATAATGTATGGTTTCTCTCTCTCTCTCTCTATATATATATATATATGTGTGTGTGTGTTTGTGTGTACAAATACATACACATCCATGTATTGTATACTCTCTGTATATAATGTACGTGGACATTGTGGATATTCGCAGCTGTTGATTGTGTTGACCATACGATAAAGGCAACTTGATGAATGATATCAGTTTTGTTAATTGTGTGTGCAAGCAAAGGTTCACCTTTAACTTTAGTTGCATATATGCAACATACTAAGTTCACCTTTAACGGTGTTTGTCTTGGATGTAGAGGTTACGTGTGTTCAAGCCCTGTATTTGTGGCGCAATAGTTCTTCTGAGATAAACAATGAGCTATACAAGGGTTACATGAAGGGGAATTCAGAGAAGAAGATTAATGAGATACTTTCAGGTTCTTTATATCTACTACTTTGATTTATATATGGCTTTAATTAATAATGTTTGATATATGTGATGAATAGGGTATCATTCTTGCAGCTTATGATTTCTCAAACTCAAATGCAAAAACTTATAATGTGACCTTATGGTACAATTCGACCACCCAAGCTGCCGGTGCTAGAGCTTTGTTGCGACTACCACGCACCGTGAACATGGTATTTACCTACATACATACATACATACATACATGCATACCTACATATGTACCTTCATTTTAACTTGTACAGATTGTTTTTATATTCACAGGCAACAAATGCCTACCTTCAGTTTTTGAAGGGGCCTAAAACCAAAATTATGTTTGATTTTGTCAAAGAAATGCCCAAGTCTCGAAGTGCAAACAAGATGGATTTTGCCTCTCTTGCTGGCACAATCTTCTTTACATGGATCGTTTTACAACTGTTCCCAGTAAGATTGTTGTTATTAATTCATGATCCCATATTAAACATTAATTGTTGCTAAGTTATATTAATCTTCTTTCCGATCTTTCTAACTTGTGGTGTAGGTTGTGTTAACTGCAATAGTTTATGAGAAGGAACAAAGACTGAGAATCATGATGAAAATGCATGGCCTCGGTGACGGGCCTTATTGGATGATTTCATACGTGTATTTTCTCACAATATCTGCACTCTACATGCTGTGTTTTATTGGATTTGGCTCAATTCTAGGTACATATATAGTATTTTGGTAAAGGCTAGCTTTATTTAATTTGAATTAATGCTTTAATTGACCAACTTAATTACATTCATGCAGGGTTAAGTTATTTCACTCAAAATGACTACTCCATCCAGTTTGTGTTTTTCTTCACCTACATAAACTTGCAAATAGCCCTGGCTTTTCTACTAGCTTCAGTGTTTTCAGACACCAGGACTGCTACAGGTTTGATGTTAGTTTTAGCTACTTTTATTATCTTATGAGATGACTTTGATGATTGAGATTCTTAATTTCCATGATTGATTTGATGATCACAGTTGTGGCTTACATTTTTGTCTTCGGAAGCGGGCTTCTTGGAGCCTTTTTTTTCGAACACCTTATCAAAGATGCATCTAGTAAGTGTAACAAGTGGAGATTAATATTTGTGTTTGATTATTACAAATGAAGTTGTTTTGTATTAATTAATGTATGTTGTAGGAAGCTTGCTGGTTTTTCTGGAGCTCTATCCCGGCTTTTCTCTATATCGCGGGCTATATGAGTTGGGGCAATATGCCATTGAAGCCAAATCCTTGGAGACTTCTGGGATGACATGGGAAAAGTTGAATGATAGCTACAATGGGATGAGAGATGTGTTGGTTATCATGGGGTTTGAGTGGCTTGTGCTGCTTCTTCTTGCATATTACATAGATCAAGTTGTGACATGTGGAAAAGGTCCTTTATTTTTCTTGCAAAACTCTAGGAACAAGAACCCCTCAACTCTTAGGATGCCTACCTTGCAGAGGCAAGGATCTAAAGCTTTTGGTGACATGGACAAACCTGATATTAGTAACGAGGTAACTCAATTTTTGTCTACATTGTGCTATGCCAGACTAATATAATATACTCCGAAATTTTAATACTTCAACTTGCTTAATTTGCAGAGAGAAAAGGTTGAGAAGCTGCTCCAAGATCCAAATGATAAAAGCTATGTTGTCATCTGTGACAATGTCAAAAAGGTATATCCAGGAAGAGATGGAAACCCTGAGAAATTTGCAGTGAGAGGGTTGTCTCTTGCTTTACCTAGAGGGGAATGCTTTGGTATGCTTGGTCCCAGTGGTGCAGGGAAGACCTCTTTTATTGAAATGGTACACTCTGAATCTTTGATTGGATGATACAGTTTCTGCGGAACATCATATGGTAATGGCTGATACAGACTCTTTCCACAGATGATTGGTCTCACAAAGCCTACCTTTGGAACATCATATGTTAAAGGCCTGGATATTGTAACTCAAATGAACGAAATATATACCTGCATGGGAGTTTGTCTACAATATGAGTAAGCTATAGATATAATTCTTGCCTGATGTATCTAGGAAGCAGAGTTTTCCCTTCTCTTTTTGTTGGTTCTTTCTTTCAGATATTTATAATCTAATTAGTTTCATGCTTTCCGGACAAATTTTAGCCTGCTATGGGAAACCCTGACAGGAAGGGAGCACCTACTGTTTTATGGCAGACTTAAGAACCTCAAAGGTTCTGTGTTAACGAATGTAAGTCAGTTCATACATGTTCTTTTGTCAATTAGTCAATACATACATGTTCTCTTCTCATATGTGTTTGTGAGTGAATAAGAGCTTTGTTTTTCCTATTTCCTGTCCCAATTTTGTTGATAAAGGCAGTGGAAGAATCATTGAAGAATCTGAATCTATTTCATGGTGGGGTGGCTGACAAACAAGCAGGGCAGTATAGTGGGGGTATGAAGAGAAGGCTTAGCGTGGCAATTTCACTGATAGGGAATCCCATAGTATGTTTCTCTGTCAAAGCTACTTAATCTGGCTATATGTCTTGGTTTAACTTCCTAAAAAAGTCTGCTGCTACTTGTTGCATTTCTCTAAGTGTTACTTATTCAATGTAGGCTGTTTACATGGATGAGCCAAGTACTGGACTTGATCCAGCTTCAAGAAACACTCTATGGAATGTTATCAAGCTTGCAAAACAAGACCGTGTCATCATCCTAACCAGTTCTCTCTCTCTCTCTCTCTCTCTCTCTCTCTCTCTCTTATGTTCTAGTGTTGTTAGTCAAATAACAACATAACATAACTAACAAGCTTGATCAGTTACCTCTTTATAAGTTCACTTACAAAGCAATGCCTGCTTATATCTTCAGCACATTCAATGGAAGAGGCAGAGTTCCTTTGTGACCGATTAGGAATTTTCGTAGACGGTAGAATGCAGTGCATAGGAAACCCAAAAGAGGTAAGACTAGACTAAACTACTAAATCCCATTCCCAAATCATCTAAAAAAATTGGGACTAGTTAAGACTTAATTTACTGGTTTAGTTGCAACTTTATTAAGTTAACCCCTTGATTAATCTATATGCAGCTAAGGGGCAGATATGGAGGATCATATGTGTTTCAAATGACAACGAATTCAGATCATGAGCAAGAAGTAGAGGACATGGTAATGAACCTTTCACCAAATGCAAACAGAGTATACTTACTGGCAGGCACACAGAAGTTTGAGCTGCCCAAAAATGAGGTCAGAATTGCAGATGTGTTCCAAACTATTGAGCATGCAAAGACTAGATTCACAGTCTATGCTTGGGGGCTGGCTGACACTACATTGGAGGATGTGTTTATCAAGGTTGCAAGTGCACCAAGGAAAATCGAATCAAACGTTTTAAATACAGATTAGTGTCGGATTAATATACGAGTTTACGGTTTAATTAATTTTCACTAATTTGTGACATATTGATTCTTGTAAATGTGTTTTCTCATGTCCCTTGTTGTTGGTTTAGTTTAATATAGCATGTAAATATAGAGTTTCCATACCAAATAAATTTCACACATTATATTTGGTAGTTTAATGATTGATATTAATTCAAATTCATAAAATTTTAACTTTCAAATTAAGTCAAATATAGCAACGACATATTGCTAAATTGAAATCCAGTTTGTTTCGAAATTTACTCTTATCTCTTCAACCATCCATATGCTACGAACTGCATCCAAGCAGCCATTGTACCTAAAGTTCAAAAACTGATTTGCTATCAACTTTTTCACTTTGCATCTCCGTCGTATGAAGGGAAATCCCAATCACAGATTTTTCATCTATATGCGCATGCAAAATCAAACTTTAGATCGTAGGCTTATGAAGGGAAATTGATGTTTAATGAAAAATCCCAGGTTTATAGAATCTGGCGTCAAACTCAACGAGTGATAAAACCCTAGTTTTAAATTTTTTATAAGAACCATAGACAACTAGTGTGGGAAAATGCACGTTAAGAAGTTGCAATCCTATTCGAATCAATTTTGGCTATTAGGTGTTGCAATCCTATTTTCCCAGTGTTCCGAAGCAATTCATGTAAATGCCAAAAGAAAGGGTTAAATGGCATTCATATGACCGCTTGCCAAAAAATGGAGCTTTACCATTAGCCATGAATGTTACATCTTTACTTTATTATTATTTATTTATTTGTTACATGGTGGGGCAAGCCCCAGAAGCAAAGAAAAACGAACGAAGAACATTTTGAGGCAAAGCTCGACTTAAAACTATGCAAATTATGCAGCAGCAAGGTGATCTGCAGCACGATTCTGCTCTCTGTACACATGCGACAAGCGATATAAACAATCCTTTCCGAGAAACTCTTTACAACCATTAATTAAACTGAAAAGGTGATGTGAGTCCACAACGTCATGTGTGAGCATATGAATCACAGCTTGAGAGTCACATTCAATCTCAAGTAATTTGCAGCCTTCATTCCATGCATGCAAGGTGTAACCCATGAAAAGGCCCCATAACTCAGCTTCCATAACAGTACCAGAATCCAGATTCACAGTAAAGCCTCAGACCCAATTGCCATTAGAGTTTCTCAAAAGACCTCCAGCGCAAATGTGAGAAGCAATAGTGTGACAACTACCACCAGTATTAAGTTTAATCCAATTTTCAAGGGGATACTTCCACGCCACCATAACATCTTCTCTATGTGGTTTAGTAGAGATGGACCTATTAGCCACATGCCAATCCCTTGCAATGTTAATAGGATTAGTTGAGATAATCTGTCCTTAAGATTTATTTGCAGCCAATCTTTAAAGGGGAGGACAAAGGTGTGAGCAACTGAATGTGGGGCACCAAAAGAGTTTCCAAACACAGAGAGATTTGTTGCAACTTCTGAACAAATGCTCTAAAGTTTCCGATGCCCCATGGCAAAATCGGACAGTTTGCATCGGTAGTCATATTCTGTTTCTGTCTTTGAACATTAGTCAGCAATTTACCTTGCATAATAAGCCAAAAGAAGGTTTCCAGTTTAGGCGGTATGTGCAATTTCCATATAAAATCCCCAGGCCAAGGTTCAAGCTCATCATCATCAAATAAAGAAAGATAGGCTGATTTGACAGAGAAATTGCGAGAAGAAGTGAGACGCCATATACATTTATCAGCAGCACTAGACACCAAGCCATCATTGATACTAAAGATTTTCTCAATAATCTCATGTATACTATTTATTAAAAAAAGGATCCCAGTAGCGCCTAGGGGCCCCCGTGTGAAAATAACCGCCGCCCGGCTATACTAATTTTTTTTAAAAGACCCTAGTATAGCCGCGCGGCTATACTATAGTATAAAAAAAGAACCCTTCTAGAGATTACGCGCCCAAGTGTCAAAACAAGTGTAGCCGCTCGGCTATACAAGTTTTTGAAACTACAAATAT